CAACGGTACGGTAGCTGAAGATGCACCGGAAATTGTGGAAGTTAACGGCTCTTGCGATGGCGACGAATAAACTTATAGGGAACGTTTGTAGCGATAAACGCGACGGTCCATAATTTACGTTTTGTTTGCTCGAAGACACGCTCTTCGTCACGAAACATTGATAAACAGTGAAATATTGAAGTAAATCGCAAACGGAAGTTGTAAAGTTCTCTTAGAAATGATATGCAAATATCTCTGTGTATATCTTTTCTAACAGCTACTTGTATCTATATTTATTTTGATAGAAATAAACGTCCATATAACTACAATTAATAATAATTAATATGAATCTCATATTCAAGACAATGATTCATAGTGAATAATATGACATTATATTTTTGAATTATTATCAAAGAGATTAATTAAAAATATAGCAAGTTTATGAAAAGAGAAATATTGTATATCGAACGGGAGTTTTTAGTTGCATATTAAAAAATGCGAAATGTGGATGTATATCATGTGCGGAGAGCAACTTTCTTCGAGCGATAAAAACGAAAGAGTCAAAGATAGAACATATTTTAAGAGACTTCGATATTACGCATCGCGTTCGTGCGAGGCTTCAATATTATGTACGAAGAATCAAAATTCCTCGTATGATTCCTCATATCAGACTCTTTCCAAAACGTCGTGAAAATCTCAGGTATTGGATAGCTACGTACCTTTGGGTTGCCAATGTTATATATCTCGGCAAAGTCTATGCGAATCCTATTATGTTGGTAAATACATAATTTGAAAGAAACACCGTCGATGTTATCAATAATTCCGTTATAACAGTGCGTTCAGAAAAATGCATCTGTTTAATATATATATTTAAATATTTCTAAATAAATTAAATAAAATTTAAGTCACAATATAACGGTCGGCCATTTACATCTTTACGCGTTTTTCCATGTATATTCCTCGCTTACTTCGCTACAATTATTTATCAGTAAAACATATGTATTTTGTGTGTATGGCGCATAATATATATATATACGATATACGTATTTATTAGAAATATTTCGTATTAGTGTTCTACAATATTAACGAGTTTTACAACTTGTAAATTGTACATGTATTGATTTCTAATTATTTAAGTTATAAATAAATGAGACTTTGTTGATTTAGACTTATATTCCATAAATTTGTAAGTCTAAATCGACAATAAAAATATAGATCGCGTTAATTTTCAATCAAATGCAAAGTCTGCGAGGTGATTCAAGCTGTGATTATAATTTTCGTATATAAAGTAGAATTTCGAGAGAAATGACGAAGCCTCGTGCGATCTCGACACGCTTTCCTCAATTTAATAAAAGTGATTTGCTGTGTCGGTGTAATTATGCAGATACAATTTGTCGACAAGTTTTTTTTGATAAAAATTTGTCTCACTAATATTTTATATTATTGAATTTACGTTACACACGTCATAATTAATAGATTGTAGAAATAAATTATCTCGAATATCTAAATATATAAAATTACTTGCAAATTCATAATCCTTCCCGTTATAGAAAGAACGCTTTGCTTTGCAATTTTCTGTGCGTTTTATGCACCGCCACAGCGATTACCTTAGCGTGCGAGTTTTAAGAATAATGATAATATTAATGATAACAAAAAATGCATGATTAATATTATTATTATTAATTTGGCCGATTCAGCTCCGTCCATCGGAGACCTCGAGATTTTAGATAGCTACTATTTGTATAATTTTTTCTACGTTTCATAGATGACTTATTAACAATAATAAGACGGATAACATGTAAGAAATCTGGTTCCGAGGGGACGGAGTCGAGACGACCGTATGACTCTTTTAAGGCCCCTCCCCTCCCTTAACCATTAAAAAAACTTCTTCTTTAATTTTTGTTTTTAATATTATACCGGGGGCCAGCTGTGATACTTTACCCAATCCATTTACATTCTGGTCGTGGTACCAAATCTAGTCTAGGCGAGGATCAGTCGTTGTTAACGATGCGCTAAAACTCGATCAATTTCATATACCTTTTGCGTGTTACATTATCTCGAATTCGATTTCAATTGGACAAAGAGAGCTTATCCAGTATTATTTTACGTCAGGCAATAGGCACAAACAATCAATCGACAAATTGTCTGTGGCGATTCGAGAATATTAACATAAAAACCTATACACACAGTGTCTATTTTCGCAATTACTCATTCAGTTCTTCTGAGACATCAGTACTAACCTAACGAAAGTAAATTAGCATGTAAAAAGTTCTAGCATTCCCGATCTCTCAAAATTATGAGTTTATGAATTCAGAACGTTCATATTTTAATTTTGTCCGCCAATGTTTCGCATGTAAACTCACTTCTAAATACGGTTGAAGAGAATTTGGCCATTACGGAAAATTCAAGAACTTCGATCATACTTAATTGTGTCAATTAAAAGGGCGATAGATGTTTGTATCTTGTCGTTTTGTCGTCATGCAACGATGCTTGACGTAAAAAGAATGACGATTTTGCACGCACTTTTTGCTCGATGACTTCCAATTGCGATTATAAAATAATATCATTCTTGTACAATTGTGTGGTCAGTACATCCTCTAAAACGTTGCAATATCTAATTTTATATCACGGTGACAAAAAGAATATATAATAGTAGATGATACTATTCATCGTTCCACCGTTAAAAAAGATATATGTACTGTCACACATATATATATTGTACAATTGAGTTTTCCGCAATGGCTTTTACTACATCTGCAACTCCATTACATAGATTTAAATAAGCGAACCTCATCCTTCAGCTTCAGCCTCTACAAACTAGTTTATTTCCTCTGTAAGACATGAGAGATTCTTTTACGCACAATAACAATATTTGATAGAAAGTATTTGACAAAACAATCATCTTTCGCCTCCGAAAACACTTTAAATTTAGATATTCATTTTGTCCCCATTGTCAAGCTGTCGCGACGAAAAATTGCGGGGATCATTTAAAAGCGCGAAAAAACAACGAACTTATTACAACACTACTATTACCAGCCTGTATGTAGTACGCTAATCCTAGCGCTGTGTTAATCAGTGTCTCGCGAATTAGGCCTAAATCTAAAATCTGCCTGAAGAGGCATCTGATACGTATGTAAATATAATATATATAATATATTCTTCCTCTCCTTCTCTCTCTCTTTCTTTCTTTCTTTGTGCACGTCACCTTCTATTGCAACAAAAAAGAATATTTCGTCTAGAACAAACGCAAAATTAAACCTCGATCCTTATGAAAGTTACACGGAAAACGAAATAATTATGTAAAACATTTCAGATCTATTTGTTATACGGAGCGATTATATACGGAGAAAAGAACATTTAATGATGTAAAATCCGATTTTTTGTTGACTAAACCACAGCGGGCGATACGCGTGTGTATAATATCTGTGAGCGAGAGGAAACCATAATGTGCGAAGAATCCGTAGTTTTGTGAGAAATGGATAATATTGGAAACTGGATAAAAGAGCTTTGGATAATAAATGGGACAAACAAATATGATTTTTTAACGATAGTGTCGTTTATTATGCATTTGATTGCCACATTCATTCATATCGCATGTTTGTAGCATTTGCACAAACAATGAATACATAGTGCATTTCCTCTGCACAGGATATTAATTTATCTTGCACGAACAATATCAATTCAGTTAAATAAATCCTTGCCATAGAATGCTCTTGATAAACAATGTTAATTAATCTCAAACAGATTGACACATTTTTACTTTCTTCCCTGGATTTTGTAAGATTTTATAAAGAGTAGAAAAGTCTCGCATTTCATTTTTTGAATCTTTTTTTTGTTTTTTTGATACATTTACAATAAAGATCGAATAGGAATTTATTCCGTCATTATAAAAAAAGTGATTTAATTGTTATAATAATAATTTGATTATTATGATTTAAATTTAAACTTAACACATAATGCAGTATTTTGCTTTAGAAAAAAAGTACAAGTTAATTTTTAAATTTCCACTTTTTGATTGACGCACAATGCTAAACAAAATAAGAAATTCGCACTGTTTCACGTTAAACATATGTTCGTTTTATTTTGCAAAACTGTGACTCGTATTATTTAGTGTTTAATACACATAATAAAAATAAAAGACAATATAATATAATGGTTTTTTTTCGATATACTCATATTTTTTCAATCCGAAGCACAACATGAAGCGAAACAAATAAATTAAATCACTTTCTATTAATGTTTTGAATCTGTCCGATATAAATTTTACGCGTTACTTTGTTATATTAATTTCTAATCTCGCAATTTTATTTGTTACATATGCATTTCATAGAATAGAGAGTGTATAAATATGTTTGCCTACAGAAAGTCTGACGCAGGTGTTTTCTACTGCTTGGCAATTTGTGTCGTCACATCAACTTTCGCGAATCAGATACGAAAATAACGAACGATATTACGTATCGGAACGCATAGCAAATCTTAAAATACTACCTGCAAACATGTATATATACACACAGAGTGTGTAGAAAACGATACGGCATTCACTCACTGAAAATGTCACTCGCGGAAAGTCTTCAAGGATCGCTTCATTGCCTCCATGTTCTCGAAAAATTTTCATCGTTTGTAGCAATACACGTCGTTTTCACACGTCGCACGATTTTCCGATAGGAATACATCGCGAAATATCGTTCGGTGTCGTCGCGGAATTCCTCTCGATTCTCGCGGAGACGCGATGAACGCGCATTTACTTGTTACGAAAAAGCCGGAGCAAGATAAACGATGCTACGCGGCGCACGATCGCGCAACGACTGCGAGGGACCGACCGCGAGCGAGCGATCGGAGCGACTGTCACGAACAGAATGCGAAGCGAAACGACAGGTGACTGGTCGGCTGACTGAACGTAGCGCCATGTGCGCCGTCGCCGCGCCTTCGGGCGAACTCGGCCGCGCTCGGCGACGCTCGGCCGCCTTCGCCGGCCAGTGGTGGGGCGAGCAGTGTATCCGTGACGTCACATAATTAGAGTAAATACAAAGTAGTCTTGATGGGACAGCGGCGTGCGCCGCACCGTGAGTCGCTGGTCCGCGCGCGTCAAACCTATATCGCCTCGATACACGCACACCGCGCTCTCGCGACTAGCTCGTGATATATGCCCGCGCGCTATGTGCCGTCAGTGTGTGTGTGCGCCAAGGGATTCTAGATGACTGTGGGAATAGTGAGTGACATTCGTGCAGCAAAGAAATGGAAAAGATAGAGGTGAGAATCGCGAATGGAAAAGCCGGTTATATTTGTAGTTAAGCGTGAATATATCGTCGCGCCATGAACGTAGCGCTGCAAACAAATTTCGCGCTTTAACGTCTCTCTCTCTTTCTTCTGCTTCTTTTTCTCATATTTTTCTTTTTAATCACCGCGTTTCTGCTTCCCTCCCCCGCGCTTTCCCGTTCCCTCGCGTCTCTCTCCCCCTTCCATGTAACCGTCAGATTTACCTCGGCGAATATTCGCTCGACTGTAATGCAGAAGTGACAGCGTGGTGACGAGTGGGAGGAAGGGGTAGCGGATGGTGGGGAGATTATCGTGTAGTTAGACATCTGGCAACGAATACCATTGTGTATACATTCAATGTATGATAGTATTAGATAAACTAGTTACTTCTCTCTCTCTCTCTCTTTCTCTTTCTCTTTTCTTTAAGCCATTATTGTCTATCTGTTCATCTCTATTTCATTTTCGTCTTTATCTCGCACTCGCGCGTTTCTCACACCGATTCTGCCTTTTACTCCATCTCTCTATCGGTCTTGGTACTTTCTCTCTCTCTCTCTCTCTCTCTCTCTCTCTTTTCTCTGGTCTTTCTCCGCGTGTATCTTTCTCCGTTAGTCTCGCGTTCCTTTTCTATCAACCATACTTCATATCTCTGTCCCTTTCTCGCTCCGGCTCTTCTCCATACTATTCTCCCTCTCTTTCC